CAGTTATTTTGAACAAAATAAATAACATGCAGGCCTCACAGAATAAAAAGTAGTTTATGTAATATAGCAAGGCAATTATACCACTTATAGTGACCAAATAATTTCATTTTAAACACCACATGTTTATTACTCTCCTTTTTGTTATTTCAAAATTCATTCCCTTTGTTTTGCTAAATGGCAGCATGAGTAAGGGAAGCACACACTTTACAATGCAATCTAAATCTATAAATAATCTGAGATTTAAAAGAAATAGTAACAAAGTATGTGAATTTAACATTTTCCTCAATTGTATAATAACCTGATGAAACCGTAGCAGTAGAGAATGTCACTTTAATACTGGGAGAACCTTTAGAGCTCCAAATCTGACATCTATAATCATTGTCAGTCATAAAAACATAGCAGATTTGGTTAAATTTAGTTCAGCCATTCAAACAGAATAAAGGTTGTCACCTGCCCTCCCTTGTGATTTGATTACCTAGGACTCGGGTTTTCCTCAAAGGGGTAGTCAGAAGAATGATAATAAATATTGAAGGGAAAGTTTTATTCAAGGAGCATACTACTCTTTGCACATCCTTAAATGTGTTAATTTTTCTTATGTTGTGTTAACATCCTGTACAGTTATTTCCTAAATAGTGTGGTTTACTTGATCACCTAGAAGTACAGTACAAGTCTACCCTCATATAAAACAGGGATCATGACACATGATATGTCAGAGGAACTACAGCGTTTTATGATTAATCTCTGTGAAGTATATTAGAACACTTGGATGAGGTTCTTGGAATGTATACAGCATTATACAATTCTTCTGATTTCAACAGAATTCCACGGAGGCATTGATTTAGTCCTTCAGACTTGAAAGAAGAAAGTCCCAGGACTTTGTGCCTTGCTCCTTGCAAAGGTCATCCATTCTATACTTCATGCTCTATATCCTTAAATTATACATACTGGGAACTTATTTGCAAATGCTTTGAGATCTATAACCTAAATCTGTTCCATAAGGAGTTCAGGGCATTAGTAAAATACATATGCCAGTCTAATCAACAGATCTAATCAAACTGAACTGCATAAAAACATGGGCTAGATGCTTTCATGCCATGGAAATGTATATATTCAAAATGTTACATTTGAATATATAATTATTAATTTAAGAAACGTGAAATGTAAAAAGGGAGCAGAGTTACACAACACCAGCACAACTTAGGCTGCATTTTATTCTGAGACCTGGATCTTATTCTTTAGTTACCCAGTCAAATATGAATCCTATTCTGATATCATTTATATAACATGAGACCATAACCAGTTAAGATATAATCCCCTTTATTGAAATTTTATTGTAGCCAGTATGGAATAATTAGATTAAGTTTCCAGAATCTGAAAGCAAGTCAGTGTGATACAGATTAAAATCTGATATATCCTAATATCAAAAAGTAGATTATATGTAATGACATGGATAAATAGCTAATATGCTAATGTAGCAAAAAAAAGTGAGCTTGTTATTTTGAGCCAAAAAATAATATTTTATTGCATAGGGGAAAACAACTTCCTATGGTTAGGAACATCAGAGGATTTGAAACAGAGGCTACTAAGAAAAGCCTAATAATCCACAGAGGTTTCTAAACAAACTTTACCAGTAATTTTCTCCTATATCAATAATCCTGAAGCATTGTTTATTGGGAAATAACATGACTATGCAAATGCTTATATAGTGCTCTGGGGAGAAATATCTGCTTCTTATACTAAAGGGTTAAGAAAGACAGTCACTTATGATTACTTTTCTTCTTAGAATATTGTGTTCTGGAGAAGTCTCATTCTTTTGCATTGGGAGTTGAGAATGTAAAGTTAGGCTATACTGCCTGCCTAACATTTAGCTCTAGATCTTCCCTCCTCTAAGAGGTTAACAACTTTAACTTAAGACATGTAAAAAACACAGCATTTCATAGTAGGCAAATAAATGTGAATATGACTGTTTTCAAGGCAACTTCTCTGCCTCCATCAGAAGCATCCTTTTCAGAGAAGATCCTGTCCAGGCTCTCATGCTGCCCAAGGGATTAACCTCTGATTTTCTTTCATTGGTGTCAAACTGCCATGAGCCTAATCATATGACGATTATTTCTCTCAGCCTCCATCCTATGTTCATGGTATATTAGATTCAGACCCAGTAAGCATGGAGTTCTGATGACAAGTCAAAGCTATCCCTAAGCAAACAGAAAACTCTTCAGTTTAGCAATAAAGTTAAATAATTACTACTGAGCTATGTGATATAACTACATCTGACTTTTAAAAATGATGACAATGTGATTAGAATGTGAATGTGATCTGTATGGGATGCTCCTGGAATGAACTATAAAATAATGCCTGTGCTTACATCTACTGTTCCTATATACTGTCAGAAGAGTTCATTTATTAATTCATACAAACAAAAGAAGCTAACCCACTGAATGCTTGCCATTCTGAACAATGTAGTGTTTTCAGCTATAGATTCTCTGAATAGTAAGAAGGTCTCACGCACTGGGCTAAGATAAGGAATTCTCTCTTAATTTGCTCATATTATAGGATGTGTGTGTGTTAAGACTTTTCCTCCTCATCTCAGAATTGTATCAGGAAGCTTTTAGTGGTCCCTTTTCTGCTTAAATATTGCTTCTCTGATAATTTCAAGGCAGTAATAGCATATGAATTATCTAATGTTTTCAAAAGATGACTTAATTTTACAAAAGAACAGGTTTATTTTAATGTATAGAAGAAATTCCTTTCCCAGTGCATGCTTACACAATCAGACAATAAATACTTTATGCCTTATCATAGTGTACAAAAAAGAATAAGATGAAAAGTTCGAATTTTCTTATTCAACAACACCTGAGGAAAGTAGTGGCGTCTTGTTTTGACTACTTGGGTATATATGAGAATATAGCCTCTGCTTTCAAAAATTATTTAACTATTTCTAACACTTAGTCTGTGTTTTTAAAAAACGTGTCCCTGCCACTGCTACCTTGTTAACCTTTAGCATTTTAAATCTAAAATGTCCTATTTGAGGTTAAGTTATAGCATGCAGAACAATGGTTTGGTTTTTTTCCCCCCTTCATTCTTGCTGTATTTTGCAAGTAGGTTAAAAGACCTGAAAATATTCAGGCAGATACCTAGTTATTAAAATGAAAGGTCCATTTATGTTTCTGAAAAGTTGAAATAACGATTAAGTAACAGTTCTCATTGTGACCCTCTTTCCCTGAATACTTTTAAAGTTGTTTTAAAAATGGGGGATTTATTACAGTGAATAGTTGCAACATTACTTTTTGGACCTTAGGTGAATTCATAGTGCTTGCTGAGAATCTCTGCCTAGCAAAGTAGGTAACAACTGTTATGTAACGTTTGTGGTTTGTGGCTGCAAAAGATTAGAAAAAATACTTTTAGGGTCAGAACTGGAGGGAAGAAGCTAATCCTTTCTTAGTGAAATCTCGTTCAAACCTTTGCAAAAATAAGAAAGGTGCGCACAAGTAAATGCACGCAGAGGCTAAGCTGGAGTCAGAGAAATATAAATTATAGATGAGGCGACATGTATTAAATATAAAGTTGAAACCAGCAAAAAGGGCAAGAGGAAAGAGATTTTTCTACACCCAGAGAAAACTGGCTAGGGCGCTCTTCGGAATCCCTGAAGGCAAGTTAGATGCACAATGTGACTACAGTACCATTTCTTCCAGCAGATTCTCTTTCTGAAGTCGAGGTTTTAAGACTTGCATTTGCAGTGGAAACCAGACGGAGATAGAGTCAGGCAAAGTCCCCGCTACCGCCAGCCGCCTCTTGCTCCCGGGGATGGGAGACTTCTCAATGAAAAACAAGACCCACGTTGACTAGATTAGCTTTTTGCTACCTTTTCCCTCTCTTATTCCTCCAGGCGGTTCCCGGGAGCCCCGTGGATGTTACCGCAATTGACTAAGGCAGTAGTAGGTTATATGTCTCCGGACTCAAAACCTCAATTGTCCCGGATTTCTCCTATCCATCTCGAACCTCCTCCCATCCCAGTCTACATGCATGCCTGCAAACACCGTCACCCCCAGACTGTCATCTTGACAAATGTATGTGCTTTGCATATCTTCACTCGTGTTGCATGTTCTCCCCCACACCCACACCCCCTCCACTTAAAGACAAAGAATTCTTGCGAATGTCTCCTGCCCCAGGCTCCTCCATCCCCTTCCAAGTCGGTGGGGGTGACCTGGAACGCTTGCCCCTCCATTTAAGACAAGCAAGTGCAAAATGGGCGCAGGCAGACATGCCCCCTTTGCTCTAATCCTTTCCAAGAGGCTGCTTCCCCGTAGCCCGTCGAGATAGGGCGGGGAACTGGGGGTTCCTCCGGCACACGTCCCTGAGTCGGAGTAGCGCGTACTCCCAGCGCCCAGCTCCCTGCGCTCCCCCTCTCACTCTCAGCCTATCCAAAAATGGTACTGCTGCTGCTGCTGCTGCCGCTGCCGCTGCCTCCGCCGCTGCCTCCGCCGCCGCCGCCGCCGCCACTAGCCACCGCCTGCAGCCCTCCCCAACCTTCCCAGCCTACAGGCCATTAGCCATTCTGTACACTACGGACTCAGCATCTACCCGTCCACTCTTCCCCAACCCTCACTTAGACTTCGCTGACCTAAGTCCCTGTCTGCTAGGCTAGGGCAAAAGCTTCCGACTTGCTACTCAAATCTCCGGAGCATGCCCAGTGCTTTCTCCTAGAAGCCTTGGTTAGTTGTGTGGTTTTCTTCCCCCCCTTTCTCACTGCGTATGTTCCATTTTTCCGGGTTTTAGCGGCTGCCAAAGAGGAGAAATTGGGAGGGGGGAGGCAAAGAGACAAGTCAGAGTCTTTATTCAGCGGCCCCCTCCCTCTCTGCCTAGCTGCGGCCGCCCGCACTGCAAGGCACAGGCCAATCAGGTGCAAAAGAGGTGGGGCCTCGCGTTGCTCACACCCTCCCTCTGGGCTTATTGAGAGTTATATCAAGAAATTCAGTTCAGAGTGAGAGAGACAGAGAGAGACAGAGAGAGGTGAGAGAGAGAGACTGAGAGGAGGGAAAGAAAAGGAAAGAGAGAGAAAAGACGCAAGAAGAGAGAGGTAAAGCTTTAGCATCCTTCTAGTACAAAAACCTTGAATGCAATAGAGTTTTCCTTTTGGGCAACTGCCACCCCTGAGAGGAAAGAGAGAATCACCGTCGTTCCAACTCTGACGTTTCCAACTAGAAGTTACAGACTTAAGCCAGTGTTAATATACGGATGGTAATGGTATGCAGTCCACAGTGAAAAATATCCCTGGGCTGAAGAAGTGCAACTGGATGTTGTGTGTGTGTTCAATACAAGAAGCTCCTATATCCTGTGGGTAACAGAGGCAAAATGTGGAGAGAATGACTGACGACAAATCTGTGAATTTGTTCTCCGGAGTTGCTAATTTGCCAGCCCGAAGCAACACATTTCTCAAGAAGGAAACGTTTTGCTGCTTGTGAATTCTCTCCAAACTGGTGCTACCAGATGCATTGTGTTGGAACAAATCATTGCAAACTGCAGCATATTGAGAAAGGTAGAGAGAGAGAACTAACGTAAGTATAAAGTTTCACGTGCATGATTTTGAAATTTGCTTTTAAATGTGTGTATGTATCTGTGTCTTCAGCGTAGAACAGGAATGTTTGTGATTCTGGAAATGGTTGTGAGAGAGCTCACCTACTCGGCTTTATCTGCATCCGTACCTGCATCACTCTGCTGGAACTAATCACGGGCATCAGCTACCGTGCAGCTTAATGCAGATAAGATTAGTGGTTAGGAACTGAGCAGTTCCACTGAAGTATCTAGCTGCCGGGAGGCTTGCACCCATTTAATTTGCAGTTAGGCGAGCATCTAAGCGAAAGGCTTTTTACCTGCATTATTAGTCTGCAGTATTTGTGTGGCAGCTGTTAGTAATATCCGAGGAGAGATAAGTGGTAAAAAAAAACCTACAGCTTTTTATTCCTTTTTTTTTTCTCCCTTAATCCTCATTAGAAGGATTTTGCGCCTTTTCATGGGTATGATATCTGCGGTTAACTTGAATCTGTATTCCTCCCCTCCCCCCTCCGGAAGCATTTCTTTATATTATTGCATTTTTAAATAAAAGTTTTAATGTGTTTATTTAAATTGATGGGAAGTATTGAACATCTGAAAATAAGACAGACAGCTCCTTTGAAGAAACTGCAAGTCTTGTTATCCTTTTAGGCAGAAGGACTATGAAGTAGCCAGTGACTGCTGCTCTGGCTGCCGCTGCAGCAGCATGTCCGGATGCTTATTTCCCAGTAAGATAGAAGGTATATGAAGGACTGGGATTGGGAGGCGGTGGTGGTGGTAAGATACTCTTTTTAGAAGAAAGATGACTCAGTGTGCATAGAAGAGAATCTATTGCATGTGACATCTGACAGTGCAATTAGACAGAACCCCGGATAAGTACTTAAGGTTTTCACTTGTAACTAAAAAACTAGGGAGGCGTTAAGAAAGGGGGAGGGGAAGGAGAAGGGATGCTCAGTTATGAATTGCACAGTGTGCTAGGGGAAGGATGAGGGTAGTACATGTAGAAACGGTGGCTAACCTCCATTCAGAAGTAGCTAATTTCATTTTCTCTTTGCAAATGCAACAAGCAGAGATATTTGTGCTTTCTTCCATAGAGTTAACTTGCAAACAGTGGCAGAAAAGAAATGGTCTGTTTACAGCTGTACAATGAGAAATGTGTTGTGATATCTTGTGATGTGTTTTTATTTACTGAAAAATAATATTGTCTCTATGATTATGTTGACAGTTGCTGTTTCCAAATAAGAAATGAGATGTAATGCATCCTAGAGTCCATGTACGCCTTCTCTTGCAAATTGTGTACCATTCCTGAGCGGGAACCTTTAAATCCTAAAATCCAGGAAAAGAAAATAAATACATTATCATGGACCTGAGGGATTTTTACCTGTTGGCCGCTCTGATTGCCTGTTTAAGGCTGGATTCTGCTATAGCCCAAGAACTTATTTACACTATCAGAGAGGAGCTGCCTGAAAATGTACCCATAGGAAATATACCAAAGGACTTGAACATTTCTCACATCAATGCTGCCACGGGGACCAGTGCCAGCCTCGTCTACAGACTGGTTTCTAAAGCTGGGGATGCCCCTTTGGTCAAAGTGTCCAGTAGCACTGGGGAAATCTTTACCACCTCTAATAGAATAGACAGAGAAAAACTCTGTGCTGGAGCTTCATATGCTGAAGAGAATGAATGTTTCTTTGAACTTGAAGTGGTGATTCTCCCCAATGATTTCTTTAGACTGATCAAAATAAAAATAATTGTAAAGGATACCAATGACAATGCACCAATGTTCCCATCTCCTGTCATCAATATCTCCATTCCAGAAAACACTTTGATCAACAGCCGATTTCCAATCCCATCAGCCACAGATCCTGACACAGGTGTCAATGGTGTGCAGCACTATGAATTGTTAAATGGGCAGAGTGTATTTGGGTTGGATATCGTGGAAACACCAGAGGGAGAGAAGTGGCCCCAATTGATTGTACAGCAAAACTTGGATAGAGAGCAGAAAGATACCTATGTGATGAAAATCAAAGTGGAAGATGGAGGCACCCCTCAGAAATCCAGCACAGCCATACTGCAAGTCACAGTAAGTGATGTTAATGACAACAGGCCAGTGTTTAAAGAGGGTCAGGTGGAGGTTCATATTCCAGAAAATGCCCCTGTAGGTACTTCTGTCATTCAGCTTCATGCCACTGATGCAGATATAGGAAGCAATGCAGAAATCCGATATATTTTTGGTGCCCAAGTTGCTCCTGCAACCAAAAGACTCTTTGCTTTAAATAATACTACAGGGCTGATTACAGTTCAGAGGTCCTTAGACCGAGAGGAGACTGCCATTCACAAAGTGACCGTGCTGGCTAGTGATGGTAGCTCCACTCCTGCCCGGGCAACAGTTACTATTAATGTCACTGATGTAAATGATAACCCTCCTAACATAGACCTCAGGTACATTATAAGTCCCATCAATGGCACAGTGTACTTATCCGAGAAAGATCCTGTCAATACAAAGATTGCCCTAATTACAGTTTCAGATAAGGACACTGATGTGAATGGCAAAGTGATCTGTTTCATTGAAAGAGAGGTCCCATTTCACTTGAAGGCAGTTTACGACAACCAGTATTTGTTAGAGACCTCTTCCTTGTTGGACTATGAGGGCACCAAAGAATTCAGCTTTAAAATTGTTGCCTCTGATTCTGGGAAGCCCAGTTTGAACCAGACTGCTCTGGTAAGAGTTAAGCTGGAGGATGAAAATGACAACCCTCCAATTTTCAGCCAGCCTGTAATTGAGCTGTCAGTTTCTGAAAACAACCGACGGGGGCTATACTTAACAACTATTAGTGCCACAGACGAAGACAGTGGGAAAAATGCAGACATTGTTTATCAGCTTGGACCGAATGCCTCCTTCTTTGATCTGGACAGAAAGACAGGGGTCTTGACAGCCTCCAGAGTTTTTGACCGGGAAGAGCAAGAAAGGTTCATTTTTACTGTAACTGCTAGGGACAATGGGACCCCTCCCCTGCAGAGTCAAGCTGCTGTGATAGTTACTGTGCTGGATGAGAATGATAATAGTCCTAAGTTTACTCATAATCACTTTCAGTTCTTTGTATCTGAGAACTTACCAAAGTATAGTACGGTTGGGGTGATCACTGTGACAGATGCAGATGCTGGGGAAAATAAAGCTGTGACCCTTTCTATCCTGAATGACAATGAGAATTTTGTCTTGGATCCTTACTCTGGGGTTATAAAGTCAAATGTCTCCTTTGACCGAGAACAGCAGAGCTCCTACACCTTTGATGTCAAGGCCATTGATGGAGGGCAACCACCCCGTTCCTCTACTGCTAAGGTTACCATCAATGTCATGGATGTCAATGACAATAGCCCTGTTGTCATCTACCCACCTTCTAATACTTCTTTCAAGTTGGTACCACTTTCAGCCATCCCGGGCTCAGTGGTAGCAGAAGTGTTTGCTGTGGATATTGACACTGGAATGAATGCTGAACTTAAATATACAATAGTCAGTGGGAACAACAAAGGCTTATTCCGTATTGACCCAGTGACAGGCAACATTACTTTGGAAGAAAAACCAGCTCCCACGGATGTGGGGCTGCACCGTTTAGTGGTCAACATAAGTGACCTGGGGTATCCTAAGTCTTTGCATACCCTCGTGCTTGTATTTTTGTATGTCAATGACACTGCAGGAAATGCTTCTCATATCTATGACTTGATTCGGAGGACTATGGAGACCCCCTTGGACAGGAACATAGGGGATAGTAGTCAACCCTATCAAAACGAAGACTATCTCACAATCATGATTGCCATTGTGGCAGGGGCCATGGTGGTCATAGTGGTGATCTTTGTCACCGTCCTGGTTCGCTGTCGCCATGCATCTCGGTTCAAAGCGGCTCAGAGGAGCAAGCAAGGTGCTGAGTGGATGTCTCCTAACCAGGAGAACAAGCAGAACAAGAAAAAGAAAAGGAAGAAAAGGAAGTCACCTAAGAGTTCCCTTTTGAACTTTGTTACCATCGAGGAGTCCAAACCTGATGATGCAGTCCACGAACCTATCAACGGGACCATAAGCCTGCCAGCAGAGCTGGAGGAGCAAAGTATAGGAAGATTTGACTGGGGCCCGGCACCACCAACAACCTTCAAGCCAAACAGCCCTGACCTAGCTAAGCATTACAAATCTGCCTCTCCACAATCTGCTTTTCATCTCAAACCAGACACTCCAATATCAGTGAAAAAGCACCACGTGATTCAGGAACTTCCCCTGGACAACACCTTTGTCGGGGGTTGTGACACCCTTTCGAAACGATCTTCCACTAGTTCAGACCACTTCAGTGCCTCAGAGTGCAGTTCCCAAGGAGGTTTCAAGACAAAGGGCCCCTTACACACCAGACAGGTAAACGAGCACTTTTACTGGTCTATAAGTACTGCATACAAGTGCCCAGTCAACCAGTATTAAAGTGCTAATGTGTCTTTTGTTTCAGTATAATTTTAGCTTAGTTATATTAAAAAGAGAAAAAAAACTTGACCCCTTTTTTTTTTCTTTAAACAAATTCCTCTGGGAGCTCAGTCAAGAATTTGTAGAACGGCTTTGAAATTTCTGAGGCCTGAAAATTATTATTTTTAACTTCCCCGGTTCCTTCAAATGTTGAAAGATGAAAGGAGGAAACTGTTCAAAATTGTCCCAAGATAAGTGTTTGCTGAAGAAGAAAGACTGTCCTGAAATGCCAAATTCTACTTGCAGAGTTCCCAATTTGACTGCTTCAAGATTTTTTTCACGTTACTTTTTCAGATCTAAAAAGTCACCTTCAGATTTCAAGTTGTGAGTGATGTTTGAAGGTCTGGCTAGTTTGCAGTGTGCTGAAACTATGGTTGTGAAAGGGGTTAATTTTTTTTTCCTTCACCAGGATAGCAGAATATTAAATGTACATCAGCTGTCACGCACATGATTGTTGATAGGATGTAACTAAGCCATATAGGAAGTCTTCCTCTGTTTTGATTGCAAATTATTTTCTTGTAATATGGTAAAGTGGGTATTAAATAGTTGGATTTTGCAGATTTTTCAACAATGGCCAAAGTACACTAAAAAAAAAAGTAACACATTCAATCTATTATAACTGATTTATGCAGGAAAAAACAGCCCATTGTAAATATTTTCTCATCTTAGTAATGCCTAAGTGATCTGTCATAACTCATTTTAAACTGTGAAATGTGCCATATGAAGAGGAATTAAGAGGCTGAGGAACTCATATTTCAACCAAATCCAGCATTAGATTTTCTTAGGTCTAATAATTCCTTGTTAATAAAGATTTAAATGCAGCGCTGTCTAATTTATTTCACTGGTGCTTGTCTGTTGCAGCTAAATTAGAATGTCAATAATAGCCTGTAGATGGCACTAGGGTACCGTGTCGCGTGTGCTGGCCAGGTGCCAAACTTGCAGTAGATAGAAGATGGGGGAGGGAACGATCAAGCTGGTACTACAGCCAAAGAAACCTTTTATTTAACGATAGCTGCACTGGAGCGACCAGTATTTAAGTTCTCATGTTTGCTCCTTAGTGCTTAGCTTATACTGCATCAGCTTTGTAGGTTTTTATAATCAGGTTCATATTACTCTTGGTATTGTGCCCTTCTTGTGGATGGTGGTCTGCCTTCATTTGTTAGAAGTATCCGAAACAGACAACTCAGATGAACTCAGTCAGGACACTAGCAAGCTTGAATGTTAGTTAGCACAAAGGATGTGATGCTTAGCAAATGAAGGTGGTCCTTTTTACCCTTAAGTTAGCCCTAATCTAAGCAGAATGTGACCCTCCAAGCAATTTTTGGCTTTGGAAAGACTTAGAGGTATTATACCAACAATGAGCCCCTTGAGATAAATTAGATAAATACCAAACATTAGGTATACTGAAGTTTATATAAAACCCAGTTTCCCAGTATGGTCTATTTTAAAGAATATTTTAAAACTATAAAATCTCAAGAACATGACCATAGGAGGGGCTTAGCTATTAAACTACCAAATAAGTTTGTATCTAAACAAAAATGTTGACTTAAACAAATAAAAAACAAACTTCATTGAAGAGAGTACAAGAAGTAGTGTAGCTATGGTAGCTAAGGCTAGGACAGCAAGAAATGTCCTTCCCATATTAAGCCTTTCTGAAAGTGATACTTTTGATATCTGAACTGCTAAAGTTTGGTGAAGCCTACTAATTAAAAAAAAAAATTCAAAAAAAAAGTTATGAGACTGAACTTTCATTAGGTAGTACTTTGTAATGAAATGAAAGAAAAGCTCTTTGTTTCTTTACAAATCGTTTATTTCAAATGCAAGACTATGTTTTGGTACAACACCTTGAAAATATGGAATGGAACTTTATCATTTTTCATGTAAAATAATAATATGGATTTTTTTCCTTTTTCTCCTTAAAGTTATTTGATTTTTACAGTAAGGAATACTGTGGTAGATAGCTGTTCTGCCAAATCATAGATATATATATATATATATATATATATATATATATATATATATATATATATATATATATATATATATAAAACAGGGTTGGTGGGTTTTTTTGTGTTTTTGTGGTTTGTTGTTTTTATTTTTATTTTTATTTTTTTGCCAGGTTAATACATTGAGTCTGGCACTGGAGTTAAATCTTGTTATTCTGCTTTTTCTGCTCCACGTTGGTGTTAGTGCAGTGACTTAAAAATCAAATGCATTTCTGAGAAGGGCTGAGAAACTTAGGTTTCCTGTTCAGTCGAAGGAGTTCTTCCAATTCAGAGCCATGAGAATACTGATTCTTATGATGCAGTCTTTCAGATAGTATGCCAAGTAATAATCTTAACTGGAACTCAAGTGCATTAAGAATATTTTGTGAAGCAATTTGGTCACTGTTCTTTTTTTTTTTTAATTTTTTTGGTAACCATTTGGATTTTAAAACACGGCTTTTCTGCATCTCATAATTATGATAAAAGCTATTACAATAGATTTGCTTTACACCTTTGGTAGAAGTTTTAATATATGAAAATTGAGATGTTGCAGAATTGGGAGTAAATAGAGAAAAATCAAGTCTTGGTAACATTTTTAAGAGGATAGTGATCTATATTTACTACATGTGGCATTTTATTGTGTGTTATATGAAGAATACATGATATTGTAGCTATGTGCACTTACTGAGCTCACTTGATGGTTTGTAAGGTGAGACTACCCTGGTTTTTTGGTTTTGTTTTTTTTTGTTTGTTGTTGGGTTTTTTTAGTTCTTTAGTTTTTAAGTTAGTTCCCTAACTTTCATGCTAATTATGGGACTTGTGAATGATAAGGGTTAGTTATTTAGAACTTCTAGCCAAATTAGGTTTTAAAAATTTTTTCTCAGGTACTTGTAATGGTCAGGGTATAACCTGTGGAATATTGCCTTTAAAAATCCTTGAGTAGCTCTGTATGGTTATATCCTTTGGGGACAGAAATTCTAAATGAGCTAAGTCACAAAAATGAGAATTTCTTGGGCAAAAGAAGTAAAATGTTATCCATGTTTATTGCATAAATAACAAGAGCTCAACAACCTGAGTTTTATCACCATGGAAAAATCTTAGTCTAGAGACATCTTCCAACTATCTGCCCTCCACCACCCTTTTGGTAGATGTTAAAGAGAGAGTACATTTGAGTGTGTAAATCAATTTTACCAATGCCTAAGCTTCCGTTTTCCTTGACAATAACAATTCAGGCACTTGCATTTGTTTGGACTACTGTATTTTCAGGGGTTGCAGCCTTTAGTAATAAGTTGTAAATTCTTAGCCCCAGTCAGCCCAAATGAAACTAAATCTTTATCACAACCTAGGTCATTGGTTGCTGTTTTTGTATTTAAAAAGAAAGAAAGGTTGTTGCTGTGTAGAACCACAAAATCATCAGGGAGTTACTCTATTAAGGTTAATATTAAGAGTGGAAATGACAAACCATGCATGTATTTAGCTTCTGTTAGAAGTGAAAGGAAATATATAAATATATGTGTTACACACGTTTACATATATAATATGTATGTATGTATATGTGTGTGTACACATAATAATTACCTATATATGTACCTACATATATGTAATAGTTAAAAGGTTGGTGATATCATTCCTTAGCATATATTGATATAAGCAAGTATCAGCCAGTCTCATTTCAAATGTTCATTTCCAAAGAACCCATTCTTCTTGCACAGCAAAACTCTACAAGCAAGGCTTTATTGACAGCGGTTTTATTGTAGCTAGAGGCTTTACAGTAAGCTGTTTATTGCTGTTCCCTAACTCAGTTGACAGCAATTGGGGAATTAATTTTCTTGGCCCTAGTGTGCTTTCTTAGGTATAAACAACAGCTGTTAAAGATAGGAAAACAGTGACCTATTTACATTTGACAACAGGTAAAGCATGTGGACAGCCTCTGTGAATTCCACTGGAGTTTAGTTTGGGGTAGACCAACAATCAGGTTAAATTTTTCAAGGAAGAGAATACTGAGCAAAAAACTGCAGAACCATAACTTTTTACTTATTCTGACACAGTGTAGTGTTTGTTAAGATATCAAGTGTTCTTGTGTATGTAAATTTAGTAGACTGCAAAAGTGTGTGTGTGTGTGTGTGAGAGAGAGAGAGAGAGAGAGAGAGAGAGAGAGAGAGAGAGAGAGAGGTACCCAAGTGTATAGGTAGTGGAAACAGTGAGTGTCTAAGTTTACAATCTAAAAGAGGTAAATTAGGACTCTTCAGAGAAAACCACAGATAGTATCTTACCTTTATGGAGTGTTCATTTTTTCAGTAATCCCTAAATGCATCAAAATATCCACTGTTGTAGTAGAATAATGATGTATGGGTGAAATGAATGAGATGTTTTTGTGAAAGTGATGTTTGAGATAGCAACCAAAATATGTCCACCAATTAACAATGCAAAGGAAATGAATGTGAGATGAAAGTATCATAAGTAGGACTGTATGCTTTGAAGTTTTAGGAATGGACAGACAGTAAAAGGAAGTTTGATAGAAAGGCTATTTGGAGAGTCCTTCGCTGATCATCTGTATGCATGCGATTTTAAATAATACTATTGGGCTTTTTAGAATAAATTTTTCCATGGTTAGTACTGCCCCTTTGATTAAGGACCAAATAGTTATTTAGGGTCACAATGTCAACTTGGAAACCATTTGGAAAATAACAACAACAACAACAACAACAACAAGAAGAGATGACTGGATAGTTATACTGAGCGAAAGGATATGAACTTTTCTTGATAGTCTGTTAGGCAACTCCAGCTCCTTTCGACATGATGTTTTTTCTACAGAATTCAGATACACTCTTTCAGTAATAACTCTGACATTTATCACTAATATACAGATTGGACAAGAGTTGAAAAGTGACTTTTTTCTTTAATAATAGATAT